CCTGAGCCTCCTGATCGGTGCCTCCTGCCTTAAAAAGGAAGGAGGCCCAAAATGTGTAGACCTGTGCCTCTGGGTGCCTCCTACCTTGCACAGGACCAGGTAGGGGGCCAGCAGCGTGCTGCTGTAAGACGTGCTCAGGCCAAAGCCCACAGAAGTCCGTTACTTTACTAGATTTCTATAACATGTTTCGTTGACAACCCTAAGAACATCAGAGTGCTCAGAATATGGGTTTTCTATAGTTTCTAGAGTTCCTTAAACCCTCAAGGGTGCCCATGTAATGTTTTGCCTCTATTGATTACATGACCGTGGCTTCCTAATGGAAAGGCTGCAGCTACCCCACGGCGTTTCATTACTTGAGCATGGTTGGGTGTCGGAATTGTGTAATTCGTTCCAAGCCCGGATGCTCGCAACTCATTTCAAACTCACTCACAACCATAGGATGCATGCATGGCACTCATGCCATTTTTCTGCGCTTGCGGATGACTCAAAATTTCCTCTCGCAGCGTTTGCGGATGCCTCAAAATCTCCCCTGGCGGGTTTGGGGATGCTCCGAAAATGTGGGCTCAGCACTGCCACCCTCGCGCCCGTGCAATCTGCACAAAGATGCGCTTCAGCACCTGTACATTGATCGCGTTGCCTAGCATGTGTGCATAATCCTTCTCGGACACAATCTTTTGCCAATCAGGGAATGCGTTTGGTGGCACTCCCTGCAGGGCAGCGAAATCATTGCAATTCAGCCATCTTCCTCGTCTGTTGGAGTAAAAGCGGAAACTTTCGCAGCCACTGGCAGTGAGGCAAGGGCTTTTTCCCACCATCACAGTCCCATTGCTGGAGCCAGTGTCGCAAATGCAATCCTGGCCATCTGGCCCATTCTGCGCCAGCTTTGCCTTCAAACGGGCGAAAGCATTCTTCAGAGTCTTGCCGTGAAGGATGGACTCTGGCACTGGCGGGTTGGAGCCGCAGCCCAAGCAGTCATCCAGCGTGAGACAGCCTGGCAAGCGGGTAGGCCACTCAAAGTGTCGAACCTGCTCTGAGCGCTTGATGCCTATGATAAAGATTCGCTCCCTGTGCTGGGGCACGCCCCCATGCGCATCAGCCGAAAGCACGTCCCAGTAGACGTTGTAGCTTGGACCACGATACGGCTCAAGTTCCAGGGCCCTCAACGCCTCCACCAAGGTGTTGAAGACTTTGGGGAACCTCTGCACAAACCCCATCACGTTCTCCAGCACATAGGCCCTCGGCTTCATCTTGGCAATCTGGCGCGGGACCTTCGACATCACCATGCCTCGGCCTTCTGGGTCAGCCAAGCCTTCCTGAGACCCTGCGCCGCTCCATGGCTGGCATGGGTAGCCACATACATAGTAGTCCGAATGAGCTGCCCAATCTCCTGGGATCTGGTTGTCAATGTCGCTCGCCACAAACTTCGGCTTGACAAAGTGCTTCAAGAAAGTCCTGGCGAGATGGCAAGTTTAGCCCACGGAGCTTGGCATCTAGGAGCCACAATGGGTGTGACAAAACACTGCCCTGGCCTGCAAGCCTCAGAAATTTCGGATGTGTAGTTGTGGTTGATAGCGGAGCGATGGCCAAAAGCAAGTACTGCAGCCAAACGCTCGGTCCCTACGCCACTGCAGTCGCTGGCCAAGCTAAGGGCGGCAGGAAACTGCGTTGTTTTTTCTGTGCCACCCAGCACTGTCTCGCTTGGCTTCTTTGGGGCCTTCTCCACTTTTGACTTGGGCTTTGCTGCAGCGGGCCTCTTGATGGCTGTTGTTGTGGCTGCGGGCTTCTTCTGGGATGTTGCCCTCTTACGCTTCTGGCCCTGAGCATTCGGAGGAGCATCGCTGGCGCATGCCACTGCTGGGATTGCCTTGCATGTGCTGGTCTTGCTTTTACGATGCTTACTTAACTTCATAACCGGAAAAAAACTTCTTCAATAAATGAAAGCCATGCACCAGTGATGAGCTGCCGAAATTCTCCATACTCGCGAGGCCAAGCGATGGTGCCACAGGATACTGGCGCTAAGAGCTGCGGCTCAGGCGCGCAACTGTCTCAAGAACCATAGCAGTACCATAACATCAAGCAAGAACAAGAAAACCAGAGTAACAAGACCCAACACGAACTGCAACCAGAAAAACACTGGGACGAGCTTCCAAAAAAAGACACTGAAAAAGCACCAGCCACAGCAACAGCAGCAGCAGCAACAACAACAACAACGACAACAACAGCAACAACAACAACCACGACGACGACGACGACGACGACGACGACGACACCGACACCGACACCGACAGCAAGAGCAGCAGCAACAGCAGCAACAACAACAACAACACTAGCACAAGCTCGCCACCGTCACTACTGCTGAGCCCCAGCGCGCGCCTTTCGATCGCACCTTGTTTGCAGACTGGTTCGCGCTGCCGTCAATACTGATCACTTGCTAGAGAATCGCTCGAGAATCTGGCAGGAAATTTACAAAGCACTTTCAAAATGCTTTCAAAACTCCTCCCTTGGATTCTCTTGTCTTCAAAAATTGCGCGCTCTCACTGGTTGTTGTGGAGCTCTTGCAAGCGGGCCTGTCGTGACACAACCCCCTTGATCTTAGAAGGTACTCTGATTTCACGCTGCTTCTGCCAACCACCCTAAACTGCTCGACGCCTGAATCAACCTAGCACAGTGTCATTCCAAAGACCCGGCCTCGAACTGCTGAAGCACGTTTTGCGCAGTGCTGCTGCTGCCACCCTGGACTTGTCCACCGTGCCCTGCTTGCCCTGCTTGCCCGGTTCTTGGCGCTGTGCTGCTCGACGAAGCGGAGGTTGCAGACCCCAGAATCTCAGTCAACTTGCTCTCATAGACCTTGCTGTTCGGGCGCGCCATCTCCTTGAGCACACGGCCGGTGATCACCTCCTCCACGGCCTTCAAGTGCGACTCTGTCAAACAGAACCCTACGTAGGGCACCCTTTCCGTGGCAGCTAGGGTGGCCAAACCGCCATC